GCAGCCTACGTGCCTGGCGAGTACAATCTGGATTTTGTGTGAGGGCTATAACACATGATAATTCAATGAGTAGTTGGTAACTCTGTTCATCACACCCCTCTCAGTGAAAAGGCTGCTGTATGAGTGGAGGTAAAAGTATGCTGGAAATCCTTAAAGACTTTAGATTTATACACAGAAAGGAAGGCAACAGACAGGGAGTCAAATATCAAACAATTCAATGTCTGTACAAGATTTATTGATGTACAATTTCTCATATCGCGGTTTGCTACCATTTCCAATTATCATAGATCAAAATAATATATAATTACAGATCTTTTATCTCTACCGCGGTTGTTTTTTATCTCATATCACAACAGGAATCCTCGTGAGCGAGACAACCGACATCGATTAACTTTTGTTACTATTAGCATTCTATTTCTGAACAGAAACTCATAAAACTACAGGTGTGGATGCACATTTGTCACGTTTCGGTAACTTTTCAGTCACAAAGATTAGTACACAATATCCTTGCTTTATATGCCATCATATCTGCAGAACTCGATGCAAATGAGAATGAAGAGAAATAAAGGAGTAATTTGCATTGAGTTCTGGAAACGTTTTGTAGTTTAATACCCGGGAAAGCGTCGTTTAGCAAAATATTAAGTGCAGAATATTTTCATGGATTTGAATGTTTCAAAGCATAAGGCATTCAGTAGGCTTTAATTCCATTGTTTTCTCTTGCTAACATGGAGTTTAGGCAATATCCTACAAGTGAAGGTTAGGAGTTAAACTTAGGAGTTAAAAATATTCTAAAAATCGATCCACACCGAGACTAACATTACTAAGCACTTTAGTCTTTCCTACAAAATCGATCATTTAAACAGTTGGATGCTCGTCAACCTTTTGAAAACGATCCATGAATCCTTAATCAATGGATTTAATATTTCGTAGATTTAGTATTTTCTATGGAACAAAAACCAAAACTTCCTCCTATCAAACGGTTCCACAATCGATACGTTTTCCTAATGAYGCAACGAGCTTCCCCGCCAATTTATACAAGGAGTCCCCTTCAAGGGTCTTCCAAATTTGCAGTAGTACTACTCGACAAGTTCCATAAAACCTACTAATAATACCTAGTACTAATAATATTTAATAATATCTAGACTGTATCTTATCCTCTCAAACTCATAATTTCGCCTCTAATTTTGCATTGAACGAGAGAAGGACGACAGTCTCTTCTGTCGTACCACATTCGKAAACTCTTCGTTTATACCGAAGCCACTACGACCATGAGATGGCCGCTGTCCGCTGCACTGTCCAAAAGGTCTGGGGATACTCTTGCTAGATGCTCCTGAGCAAAGTCACATGGCGGGAAAATRTGGAGAACGAAACTCGGCTGAAATGAAGATAAAAAGAGATATGAGCAAAAAAAAAAGGATTATTTGACAGTATTGAATAAAAGAATATACCTGTGCACTGCCAGGTCTGGCAACATTGATGATTCCGGCTGCTTGTTTCTGTTGGAGGTAGGTGATGAAGCCATTTTTGAGTGCGCGCGTTTGTGTGTGTACATCTAGTGGATCCCTMCCACATGGTAAAGCCAGCAGTAGACAGTGCTCATCTTCGCTCTAAAACGAAATGAAATAATGTAATTTCTTATATGGTTTCTGGTTAGCTTTGGAATCCAAAGTTCGACTTTAATTCCAGGTGAATTTCAGCAATAAATTAAGTAAACAGTGCTTTTTTACAAAACAGATTTGATATTAGGTGAGAGAAAAAAACTACTGAAGTTTTAGACGTTGCTCTTTTGTCTTAAAARTAAAGAAAAGTATACAGTTTGAGTTATTACTTCTTTTACAACTGGTTTGGGAGAAAAATATCAAAACAYCAACAGACTCTACTACCAGTCGTCTTAGAAATCACGACGCCATCATCAACACGTACCTGCATTCGTCTGACGACTCCCTCGAGCTGCGACGGTTCCAGTCTCATGCGCTGCGCGATCCGTAAYGGCGGAGGTGGTAATGGAGGAATGGTCTGAGGATTGGGTGGTTGCGGGAGCGATATCTCTGCAAGACGTGAACTCCCGGATAAATAGTGCATCTGAACGGCTGCTGAATCGTTCTTCAGGGCGACCATTCCTTGCCAGACGACAGGATACCGCCGTAGTAACTCCAGTAGGGTGTCAGCATTAGCGGGTTGGCTTACTGCTGGTGGTTGGTTGTAGTTTGGAATAGGTGGAGGTGGGGGCGCTGTGGTTGGAGACGGCGTTGCAATAGGTATACCCATTTCAGGGGGATGTCCTACAGGAGATGCTGTAGCTATGGGAGGGGTGGCTGGAAGTGGATGCTTGACACCGGATAAAACTGCATCCCCAGGAGATTTACCGGCGTTTCTGTTATGCGGAGAGTAGTCGTCCCGTACCGGGGATGGTCCAACCGTATCGAAAGGTGGACGAACGAGTGACTGGCTTGGTCTGTTGTCAACTGTAGGAAGTCTGCTGCTTTCTGTTACAACAGGGATGGCTTCTTCAGGAGGTGGTGGAGGAGGAGGTGGCGGTGGGGGAGGTGGTGGGGATTCTTCGTGTGACCTATGCCTTCTTTCTGCCTTCCCGTTCTTAAGCTCGTTACCTTCCCGTCTCTTATCGTCACGGTACGACCCTCTCGGAGAGCTTGATTCAGGTGATCTTGGGTAATCTCTTTCTTCTCTGGAAGGTCTCTCCTCTTTGGCACGTCTTAACTGTGCTTCCTCCCCGTCTCCATCACTTTTATGGTTTTCAGGACTTTTCGGCTTATGGTTCGGTACTTCCGGTTCCGTTTTAACGGGAGTTGTAGTGTATTCTCTTGAATCGGAGACCTCGGCACTTCGCCCGTTAMTCGTCTCTTCTTCGGCGCGCGGTTGGTCAGTCGGTTCTTCAACTGGAGTACGAACGCGTTTCTTTCTTTTTTCCCTTTCCTTTTCTTTCTTTTCTTTTTTCTCTTTCTTTTTCTTTTCAGGTGGAGGTGGTTGTTCCTTGGGTTGTGGCTCTTCCTCAATTTTTCTCTTAGTTCGTTCTTTCACGCGCTCTTTCGWTTCTTCGCCATCTTTTCGAGGAGGAACAGCTTCYTCAATACGCGARTCCGCTTCAACTTTGGTCTTTTTCTTTTTCTTGGGTGCCTGGTCATCTTCTTCGTCTTCTTCAACYTCTCTTTCTGCAGAGTTCTTTAGTCTTCGTTTCTTCTTTTCWCGYTTYTTCTTGCGAAGACGTTCCTCGTTCGTTTCTGACTTGCTATCAGACGATACTCCATCCCGTTCCTCGCTGTAGTTATTRCGGCTRYGTTTGTCCGCGTAGTCCTGGTGCTTATGTCGATGATCGCGTGGCTCTTCATCGTAAGAGCCCGAGCTGCTTTCCTCTCCTTGCCAGCGGTCATGCCTATCAGGATAGTACCGTTCATTGTCACTATACTCGGGTTCGTGGCGGTCGCGAGGAGCCCTCTCACGACGATCCTCTCGCTCTCGTTCTCTTTCACGTTCCCGCTGACGTCTGTAGTTATAGTCCTTGAGTTCCTGGTCATAATCGTCGCTTTCAAATTCTCGTCCCCCGTCATAGGGTCCCCTTGGGCCTCTTGGTTCGTGGTGGTACCCTCCACCTTCGGAATTATAATTGTCATAGTCATTGCGTTGGTGCCATGATCGGTATCCTCTGGCGTCTCGTCTCATTCCCCCTCGYGYCATGCCACCGCGACCGCCCCCTCGGCGATAGTCATAGTACCCAGACCCCCCTCCATGTCCTCGCATTCGATCAGGAGGAGAGGAATCATAGCGTCGGTTACTGGTGCTGTTACTGTCTGTCTGTCCMACRCGCTGTAGACTGTCGTAGAAAAGCTGACGACTGTCACGACTGACCATCTCAACCTGTTGATCAWTAATAATTAATAACTRTTAATTGAAAATCATTTTCATATAYTATGATATAATATTTAAACTTACCCTCACTCGCCGRCCAAACAGACTTCTGCCTTTCATCTGCGCTTGAGCTATCCCAGCAGTCTCTGCGCTGTCAAAGCTTACCAATGCCTGATTGGTTGAGCGATTGATRACTACTCGAGTAACACGTCCATAACGACCAAAGTGTCTGTCCAGTTGCTGTTCACTTAGACTAGCAGTAACGCCACCCACCCAGATAGTATTGATTGGTGCAACTTTGCCAAATCCAACCTAGAGACAGAAATATTGATAGTAAGTTGGGAACCCTGTCGCTAAACTGTTGAGATAAAACTACAGGGTCAGCAGACACACGTTATTACTTTTCTCCCAGGGAGAACCTGTATTTAAAGAAAATTTTGTGTTCACCTTGACTCGATTACGTCCAATGAATTCCCTGTCCATGCGACGCCTTGCCTGGATAGCACTACCAAGATCAGCAAACTGGACAAATGAATAAGGGTTGTTTCCTGGCTGTTTCTTGATGTCAACATCCTGTTTGAGCAGAACAAATTATAATTCATGCTTGAATAAAAAAWWTTAAAATTTTGCACCAATCTGAATAAAATACTTACAACTACTTCTCCAAAGCGTTCAAATGCTTCCTTTAAGTCACCATATGTTGTTGTYTTCTCAATGTTGCCGACAAACAGTGTCCTGGTGCATCCTGGGTCAAACTCATCATCMAGGAACTGTTGWGTTCCACTTGAGCGGTAACGAGGTGGGTAATCATTACCATCAAATCGTTCACCTAAATAGTTGAAGATTATAGTTTARACAATCTTGTATTTATCACTGTAACCTACTATATAATATATTTACCTTTTTCAATGGGTCCATTGTAWGTTTGTATTTGCATCTCTGCACCAAGGAACATTTTTGCTTGACATACTTCCATGGCACGTTCAGATTCATCAGGTCTATAAAATGTAATCAAACCTGATATTAGTTCTATTATCATGAAATAGAACACTTGATCATGATCAAAGATTSCAACAGTATTCATTACCTTCTAAAATAAATAATTGCAGAGCGACTACTTCCAGTGCCTTGGAAGTAAATGCGAGTGACTTCTCCATGTTTTTTGAATTCATGATATAATCCCTCCCTGATACTTCCATCTAGAAAAAAAAGAATGGTTAATAAATGATGATTCAAGCAAGAAAAGAGTTCTAAAGGAAGATAATGTTCATYTTACCACTTGATCTGGTTGAGAGATTTTTCACACACAACGCAGATGTCTTGGTATTTTTTGAAACTTGTGAGGAAGGTGAYCCACTCTCGGCATCACTATCTTCTTCACTGCTACTGTCACTTGACGAGCTACCAGATTGTCCTGGACTYTGACCATCACTGCTGTCACTTTCACTTTCACTGGAATTATCTGGGCTACCATCTCGRCTGTTGTAATTATCTGTAAACAATAATGGAATCAATTAAAAAACATTGCACTGACCAATCATATTGCAGCATTCAGCTGAAGTTTGAAATATCYGTTGGAATGCTGCAATTTGATTGGTCATGTCTGGTTTTTGCTSTCATATGATTAGCTCAGACACCTGAATGAATGTTATTGTTTTCATACGTAAACGTGATTGGCTCGCTTTTTTTAAGTGGCCCCGGTTCCRATAGCCGCACTGTAAATAYATGAGTAAATAAATGGATGGATGAACAAATGAATGGATAGATGTACCAACAAAACTCACCATATTTTCCAGATSCCTGCTTTTGTCCTCCACTRCTGCTTGTGACTTCASTACTCCGGGAATAAACCTTTTGACCTCCTGTTCCRTACCGTCCTGCAGCACTTCCTCTATCACGKGTACTTTCTTCATCACTGTAACCTTCATATGAATAGGGACGGCTGCCATATCGACTTTCTGACAAACTAGATACATTACARTAATATTAGGTACTAATAATAATATACAGCACTGAAGATATATAAAAAATAAACACCAAACTTATTGTCTTCATACTTTAGAACACAGTCAATAACCTGATCCCCACTTTGGACAAGCAATCAAATGTCCAATCAGAAAACAGCTTCTTTAGAAGTTGAAAAYGTCCTCAAAGAATGGGTTTACTGAATGTTATTAATGTAAACCCCATGAAAACAGCAAGAATACTAACCTGTTACTTTACAACCCTATTTCCCTTTGCTTATTCCAAATTACATGTATTCCAATTTAAGTATTTCTAATCTTTACATCCCAAACAAAGCTCAAATTCACTGACGACCTTATCACTTATCCACAATTATATTAGAGTGTGTTGAATTTGGTCGGAAATCACAACTAACCCAGACACAACTTGGCTCCACAAAAATTTCAAATTTGACACAATTTTTATTTCCATCCTAAACATCCACAATAAACTTTTGTTGATCGATAGATACTTCAAAATCCAAGAAGATACATTAATACTGTAAGTAAGTTGCCCATCTGAAAAACTCCATGTAATTTTCCACCACAATGAGACATCAGAATTGTAGTTTTACATTTACTTGGGGGATGGCTTCTTACAAAAAAAGTYGAAGAATCATATATCTTCAGTTAAATCCTGATGAAGTTTCCACACAAATTCCCATAGAATTTCCCAGTAYTGCTTAACAGAAAACCCATTAGCTATCAAAGTTGCAAAAACAAATGAAGACAGATGGTCCACTTSAATCCATAGCTCTACTTTACTTGGATAAGTTAGACACAAAACTCTGGTGACAGCTTCAATTGGCACAATCACTTTGCATCCATCTGTATCTCAAAATCTGCATCAGTTGGTTACACGTAAATCTAATGAAAGCTGCAATAGACAATCCATCTTTCTTGCACGACATCTGCTTAAGTTGCACATAAAAAAGTAAATCCAGCAACTCAGGCACAGTACCATCCAATCCTTTTGTATGCAAGCAGGTTAAACAAGAATATATATATGGTTTTTCCAGTTTATCCAGAACATGGCAATGTTKTGACAATCTCAACAGAGCAGAGTTACTCTTCTTGGAGAAAACCCTCTCTGAACAGCCTGTTACAAAACCCTTGAGAGAAAATTGTGCTTTGAATGAAAYATGAAGGGAAAGGGACAATATAAATAGAGTGAATGGATAGAAATAAGAAAGATTTTAGAGAGTAAAGATTGTGAAACATGATAAAGATACATTTGATGCAATAACGACATTAGTAAATGTAATAATTTTAGAATTGTATCAAACGAAGCCTTGGCTGTTTTTGTAAGTTGGTTGTATGCAATTCCAGGATAGCTTCATACGTAATAATTTTACTCCAAATCCTTGCTGATTTACAGAAGTGCAATTTCTTGAAAAAAATAACTCCCAACTTGGTAGAATAAAACTTGAATTTCTTGCGTAAAAGTAAAAAACCATTCATCACGCATCAGTGACACAATTCATCTGAACATCTTTATCCAGCACTTGAATTATATTAAACCCAGGGCTAACATCCTGACAATGTTAAGTGGAAAAAATCCAATGACAGCAGTTGACACAAGTTATGCTGAAAGMAAATCCACAAATGACTCCATAATAACTATGTTGGGCTGATGAYACACAAGCTTCGGTGAAAAGATGAATCCAATCTTCTATCCTCGTGAAAATTCCAATTTTGTAAGATGTAAGATATTTGTAGACAAAATATCCCTCAATATCTTGAACATGGAATCCTCTTTGATCCAAGTGACATCAAACCAGGACTTTATAAAACATGTCGTAGAATTACCCATACATTCATGTGCAACAATTTCCTGATATATCCATGACGACACAAAAGTTGACTTATCATCCAAGAGAAACACAGAGGTAGCTAAGACTTCTAACTGATGAGATGGTTGATTTTAAATGATTTTACTTTTTGATTGATGACCGCAATATTTCCAATCCATTTGATGAAGAATATATCACAAGAAAACCCAATCATTATGAAGCCATATTAATACATCCAACTCTTGTGATCCTTACCGAATCCACACACAAGAAAAAATACAATTAAAACTTCCTTCAATATWAGAACTTACCCCTCTCCCCTTCGATCATATCTTCTCCCCCTTGGGGGTGACTGTGGGGGCCCACTCACAGGCCGAGAAGTTGTTGTCGGATCATGCACCCGAGTAGTTATAGTAGTCTGATTTGTACTAGAAGGCTCATTGTAATCTGTTCTTAATTCACGATCTCCAATTCTATTAACAGATTCATGTGCCTTAGTAGCACTACGTATGTCCACGAAATCAACGAAAGAAGCCCGACCGCCTTCCGAACTTCTCTTCGGTAAAATTTTCACGCTCTCGACTCTTCCATACCTGCAAAAAATATGCCACAAAACAGTTACTATGAGAGATCTGTAGTTTGAAGTGGTCTGAATTTACATAGCCAGCAGCTGTCCTGCTAGGGAGTGTAAACTATTAGTTATTCTAAGTTCAAATGAACAGTGGTGTATAGCGTGGTTTTGGAAATTCGTTCTATTCGAAACACGATTAAGCGTGATCTTAATTAAATCGATCGTTTATTCCCTAGTGAGGAGAAGAGGATTGACAAAAGTTGACCACGAAAAAAGGCAAAAATAAACAGATAATWATTATTACTTCAGTCAGAAATCAATTTTCCTCAGTCTTAAAATATTTGCCCCAAAAAGGCGCATAAAATTTTCAAGAAATGCAAAATGCAACGATGTTGTAACGCAAAAGTGCGCGCATTTTATTCTTCTACGAAAAAGCTTGTCTTTCTTTAATAAACTCCACTARCAATCCACAACAGGTGTTACACAACACTCTAGCTCTCAAAATTATGAAATTGTGGAAAATACATTAATTTGAGCTTAGATTTCAGTGATGTTACCTGGTAAAGTGTTTCACTATTTCTTCTTCGCGAATGTTTTCCGGAAGATTTCCTACCCAAAGATGTCGCGTTTCCCKTACCATTTTCGCCGGGAAAACAGTCTATGTACAATATRTAGGTATTGAACTATAAGCTCACACAACAAGGCTTCACATTAATGATATGACATCGAGGAAAACTTCGGTGGAAACGTTCAAACTCCTCAAGAGATGAGTCTTCTTTCTTCTTCAAAATGTCAGAATGCAAAGGGTGATGGGAAGGTTTGACTAATGRAGAGTTGTGATTGGCTAATTTTAGAGGTTGTAAACGAAAGAGAAACTAACCAATGAGAGCTCTTGAAATATTTTATAAATTCATTAGCAAAATTTTACAAGATTTTMGCTTTTCTTTTCAGCTTCTTTTCAAAAGAAAATGTCATTAAAGCAATAATTTTCAAGAATTTATAACCCAGAGCAGAGAAATGTCGCTAGATTTCTATTAATTTAGCCGATAAAAATATTCAAACATAACGATAGCTCTGATTGGTTTGTTCCGTTCCTTATTTGTACAACATCTGGTGGYAACAGTCGTTGGCCAATCAAATTCAAAAGCTGAAATGACACCTTTCTTGAGCCAATCACAACCTTCGTTATATCAGAATCTGGGTCGTGACTTCCTTCACATCTGAGGTGCMTTGGTCTGTACTTTGCTGACGGTTTTTGCTGCAGTTTCTGGTAATCCTTTCTTTTTCTTGCACTACTAGGTAAGGAGCATGATTCGTTAAGGGTATATTTGTAGTTTGAAGGTCATTTCTCCATGAAAAAACATTCGAAATGGATTTTGCGCGTCACTCTTTCCAAGTCTTGTCATGCGTTGGGGTCATGCAATTTTTCTGAACAGAAAATTTTTGGGAGCAGACTTTATTCAGCTGTTTTGGCCCGAGAATTATAAAAGGCTCKTAATGTTCTCGTGATCTTGCAAAATATTCATCCATTGTTCTGATTTTTTTGTTCTTTTATAATAAAAAGAATGAAAGTTCGATCTTTAATAAAATGGTCAACGTGGCCAGCGGAAAGCTGTCTTTTTTATTTCTGCATCATTTGTTTGCTACTTTGACCTATGGTAGCTCATTCCTGAGCTTTTTAGGAAAGAATAACACAGAGAAATGATTTATTGCCTGCGGATTTGCAAATTTTCTATGGACATTGCAGCGAATTGAATGTTTGCTCTGGCGTCTACCAAGAAAGGCAGTTGACACCTTGGAAAAATTGCTGTCAAAATACCATCTGTTGCTTTGTTTAGTTTTATTATGTATTTTTAATGTGTTTGTGATAATAATAATGATTGAATAATTGATACTTAAATTCATTTATAAAACTGAAAACAATCATTGATGATKATGATAATGATRATGATCAATATATCCAAAATGTTTGTATTCATATTTTCTTYACTAGCAAACATTATTATGCAAGTTAATTGTAAATGTGAAATAACATTAAGTTTAATATTAAAAGCCATCATTTCTAATAAAGCTGCAGCCCTGTAACCCATATAACTGACCCATAAGAATTCTGGGATGGAATGAGGTATGGTCCTCTTGGCACAAGCAATCAGACCTCTGACAACACACACATTGCAAAAGGTTTGGTTTGCAAGCAGATTTAATTTGTTTTCCTGCAAAYTGGCCACATTAGCTGGATTCCAGAAAGGTGAATAGATTTTTGTTGAAAGCAGATAGTCTAATATAGTCAGACAGGAAATTTGAACTCTTCAAGTTAGAAATATTAATTTTACACCACAGAAATGAGCGATTCTATCAAATTGAGAATTTTTATATGAAACTGGCTTTGATTTCACAGCACCTAGAGCAGAAATTTTCAACCTCCATGCATTCTCTCTCGTACATTCCACAACTGATYCACTATCCAAGAGGACCTACCAGCAAAAAGCTTAAAAGCTATTATAGAATAACCTTACCACAAACTAAACTATAGAGCGGATTTCGTATGAGTGGGAAATGTAACCAAATTCTAGTGTCTCATTGGTTCACAAAAATTGTGCAGGCCAGGTCCGGTAACTGTGTGGTAACAGTGCGGTAACGGTGTCCCACTCATACGAAATCCACTCTAACGCAAGATGAACTTTTACTGTAATATATTGTCTACAATTAAATTCAATATAATTTCATATCAGGCGATATCATGGCAAACGTTACCAAGGTCCATGCAAGAGAGATTTTTGATAGCCGTGGTAACCCTACAGTTGAGGTTGAGGTCACCACTGCAAAAGGTATTTTATCTAAAATAAATCTCAACGGAAGTGGAAAAAGAGCGAAAGGGATGGAAAGTGGAGTAAATGAATRGAAAGACAAAAATGAGAATAGGATAGAAAAAACGGCAATGAGAAAACAAAGGCAATGATTTAACTGTTGGCAATGTTTCATGCAGGGATGTTCCGTGCAGCTGTTCCATCTGGTGCATCAACTGGTATCTATGAAGCACTTGAGCTTAGAGACAAAGATGCAAGCAAATTCTTAGGCAAAGGTATTTTCTATAGACATGCAGGAACCTGAAAAATCTCATTCAAGCATAGTTATGAACATTTGGTATCAGASCAGCTTTCATACAAGTTTTTAAAAAAATATGGTGTAACTTTAATCGTTTCTCAATACAATGAGAGTTGTTGAATTATATTGTATTGGGCTGCCTGTGTAGTCATGCTTGATTAGAGTTTGAGCAGTGATGCTGTACAACGTACAAAAACTTTGGCTTTGTAATGGTGTAACTGTAAATCTTTCTCAATGCAATGAGATTTGTTTAAGTGTAATAGCTGACATTAGATATTTTGGTTCAGTGACCATGCACAAAAGAATTGCAGACGAGGCTCCAGGGAAATAAAAGAATAAATCACGATTATCCATTGTTTTCCCGGAGCCTCGTATGCGTTCTTTTGTACATAGTCATCGAACAAAAAATCTAAAGTTGGCTATTTATTGGGCTATCTTTGTAGCCATGCTTGATTAGAGAGAGTTAAGTGTATGGGATTGTACATTGAGTTTGAGCATGGTACAAAAACGTTGGCACTCTGATCCTCTTTAATTCAATTGGAGTTAATGCAAAGCCTGGTTTATGACTGTGCTATGTTTTCTCAACATTGTGATTCATGCTGTTCCAAAGTCTACAATTGACAACAGTTGCTTATTATATTATTTTCAGTCTCATTATAACCTGATTGGCTGTAGTACTTATACATATATTTGTACATAAATAAATGTTTTTAATAGGTGTGTCCAAAGCAGTTGAAAATGTGAACAAAGTCATTGGACCAGCTCTGATTGAAAAGGTGATTTCCTTGGGCCTGTTGTTCACTTCTTTACAGTAGTGCATGGCTCTTCATCTCTTTGATATCATCCAAATTGCATCTGTTTTCAATTTTATAGAAACTTGATGTCACAGATCAAGAAGGAATTGATAAYCTTATGCTTCAAATTGATGGAACTGAGAATAAAGGTAAAATCAATGGTGGTTTTTACTTAGCAGTCATGTTGTTTGATCTTAGACAAAAGATTTCTCATTGGTCCTATTCAAGTACATTTCTTCTATCACGATGGGGATTATAATAAAACCCCGGCAATTGATGACAGTTTTCTTCAATGTTTTTATGTGTCAGATTTTTAATGTGTTTTTGTATTCATTTAGCCAAACTAGGAGCCAATGCCATCCTGGGYGTGTCACTTGCCGTATGCAAAGCTGGTGCTGCTCACAAGGTATATTAATTGTTATCAGCATTGTTACCATCAACATTATATTTATCAACCTTATTACTGTATTACTGCCATGAAATTCAACACAAGTCTTGTAGTCAATGTACTCTTTTTCAAGAAGGGGAGGGAGCACTACAAATGCCATTGAGATCTCTACCCTAATGCTCTTTATTTCAGGGGGTACCACTATATARATATATCTCTGAGTTGGCTGGACACAAAACTGTCATTCTTCCTGTGCCTGCTTTTAACGTCATCAAYGGAGGGTCTCATGCTGGTAACAAACTTGCTATGCAGGAGTTTATGCTGCTCCCTACAGGTCTGAATAAAACTTACCTTTCACATATAGAGTTTGACACTTCGAAACTACAGTGTACACAATGTAATTTTTTAAACAGCCACCACATAAAAGGGACATGGTCCATTAGCATTCAATGCAGTCGTGTTTTAGATTTTTCATATATGGAAAATGAGGTGACTTCAAATATCCATTCACAATCCATTTCTATCCATCGGTTTAAAAGTATCAAGGGATAATAAAGAATAGGTTTTGCCTATATTACAATGTATTTTTGTTTTCAAACATGAGCAAAAACTAGAAAGGGATGCTGGTGGACCAATACAACCAGTTTTCATAATTTGTCTCTCTCCATGACTGAATTTATGTGGTTGCTCTGTAAGGTGTCATTCACTTTTTTTTCTATTCTTTCCAGGAGCATCAAGCTTCCGCGAAGCAATGAGAATGGGCTCAGAAATTTACCAAAACTTAAAGAAAGTTGTAAAAGAGAAATATGGTATTGACGGTAAGTGAGAACTGAATAATAATCTAAACAAATGAATGATAATTACCATAACTTCTTATTGAATTTTATAAATTTTATCACTTTCCATTTCCACTTTCCAAAAACTTTTTGCACGCTTAATTTTATGATGTACTTTGAATGCAGGACAAAAGATCACATGACCTGCTTTTTTTGAGTTTAACGTTGCAGTTTCAATGCGAGAGCGGGTTATTTTGAGGTTGCCATAATCGTGAAAAGTCGCTCTTTCAAATTACTACCAAAAGCACAAGGTCGGGCATGAAATTCTTAGGTCATTGGTTCAGCTCTGCCGTTAGCCGTTTGCCGTCAACGTGATGCTAAAACTCTCTAATGTTATATTGATACTTCAATTGCTAGCTACCAATGTTGGTGATGAGGGAGGATTTGCACCAAATATCCAAGAGAACAGAGAAGGTAACCTCTTTGTTACTTCTGCCTTAAAAAGCTTAATTATATTTCAGCAGCTTATCTAATCACTGTTCTTGGTTACTGTTAAGTTTTGTATTTATATTTGACCTCCAGGTCTTGAACTGCTGAAAGTGGCCATTGAGAAAGCTGGCTATACTGGAAAGATTGAGATTGGGATGGATGTWGCTGCTTCTGGTCAGTTGAAGACAAAGTTTAAATTGCTTGTGACATCTTAGTTGTTATTCTTGTTATTCCTAGTTGTTATTGATTGTTTGATTTTTGATTCAACATTGATTGATAAATTATTGATAAATAAATATTATTTATTAATTCAGAATTCCACAAAGATGGCAAATATGATTTGGATTTCAAGAACAAAGACTCTGACCCAAGCAAATGGGTATGTTTTCTCTGACATTATCAAACTTAATAGACAATTTCATCATATAGTGGAATCATTTCAGGTATCCTCAGACCAACTTAGGGACATTTACTTAGATTTCATCAAGAACTACCCAGGTAAATAAAGCAAATTTGCACATTATTATCTGGATTGAGCACAACTTTTGTTTCATAGAATGTACATAATCTTTCCTCTAATCACCTGGCTGCATGTAGTACAATGCACTTTGGTTGCTGTGATCTYTTAAAACCTTCTCTAGAGTCCTTTCAGACCATTTTTTTCTTGCTTTTCTTCCCAATGTGAATTGACAGTGATTGGTTTGATTGACATATCAATAATTGATAAAACATTTGTTATTTAGTTGTATCAATTGAGGATGCATTTGACCAAGACCACTGGGATGCWTGGAGTGACCTCACATCAAAAGTCTCCATACAGATTGTTGGGTTCGTAAAATTAATAGTTTCCTTTAACATTTCTTTTGCCATTTTAAAAGGTAGTCATGCCTTTGGAATAAAGTCAAATGACTTAAACACAGAATAATAGATACCCTTTAATTACAAGCTCATTGTTCATCAGTCACTTTGATTCAAAAGCTGTCAAAACAGTTAGTTATCAACTCACAATGCGCCAACCATATAACTTAGAATTCCATGAGAATTAAAACAAAGCTACCACGGTCATACAAATGAAGGAAAGAGAGAAAAAAATGAAGCAAATTCAGGGTGAAATAATGCGATCTATAACAATGCTCATTGTTCGGCCTCTTCATCAATCATGTTAGATACTCAGCCTTTGTTGTCACCCTGTTTTTAAAGGATAACTACATTAGCTAAAATATTGCCTGTATATTGGCAAAGAGCAATATTTAGTATATCAACCTTTTCCTCCTTTTTTTCAGAGATGACTTGACTGTTACGAACCCAAAAAGGTACATATAAAAATGTGCAATATAGATACTGCTACCTTTAGAACCATTATATGATGCAGTTCTGATATTAAAAGTGTGGTCAATTTGAATTTTGCCATTGTTGTTGTTTTTAGGATCAAGACAGCCGTTGATAAGAAAGCATGCAACTGTCTACTGCTCAARGTCAACCAAATAGGCTCTGTAACAGAATCAATCCAAGCGTAAGTGTATAAATTACCAGAGAGCATTTTTTTTTTTGTAATCTTTTGACAGGGCTCACGTTGATAACAGAATTTTTATTAATTCTGAAGGGACTACCCTGGTTATATTATTTGTTCTTAAATAAAGGTTTCATTCATTCATTCATTGACTGCATACAGATGCAAACAAGGACTATAGTCCAAGCTCAATATCAGGTCCTTGCATTCAGTCTAGACGGGTACAACCATTTGTGTCCTCTTGACTACTTGACTTTATCTTTCTAGCTGCAAGTTGGCTCAGTCAAATGGCTGGGGGGTTATGGTCAGCCATCGTAGTGGAGAGACAGAAGATACATTTATCGCTGATCTTGTTGTTGGTCTGTGCACAGGACAAGTAAGCATGATAATGACTTGTAAATGGAGAAGGTCCAAACGCTGTTAAACACTTAGCTAACATTTCTATAGTCAGTCTCTGATCACAGTGAAAGCTTCAGTTTTATTTTCATCCATTCTTCAGCACATTCCCAAGGAAAAAGAACTATCGTATATGTTT